CCATGCAATTATGAAATAAAAAAAATAATTTCATTACTAAATTTTTCATTTAACATTCCCATCCATTAAAAAATCTTTCATATCACATTTTCATAGAACAATAATTGATCCCCAGCTTTGCATTTTCATTTGCTGTATTATGTAGAATGACGTCATACCTCCATAACGGGTGACTATTGTACAATTTTCGCCAATTTCGAAGTGGCATAAAAGAGTATTTATCCTCTGAAATGGCTCTATGCCACTTAATTTTTATTAAAAAAACGCAAGAAGATTGAAAAATATTTTAAATAACGACAATGTTGGCAATGCTCCTCCATATAATATTTTATTTGGTATGGCAATACTACCCAAGCTATATACCACCACAAACAAATACTACCTGATATGGTAACACTCTGTTTCATAATTTCCCCTTCGCAGCGAAGGTTATATACAAAAGCAGGCGACTATGAAAGCATTACTTAATATATCCCATTGTTATTGTGTCTCTGCTAACTAAATACTAGTAAAGTGGTTTATGGCAAAGATAAGGAAATTTTTTGCAATCCCTCTAGGAATTGCTTTAATTTATTCCCATTTGACAGATGGCGCTATCATCAGGTAAACTTAATGACAGCGTTGCCGTTTAATATTTCTCTAAACAAAAATAGGAGAAAATTATCAAACGCCAGAAAAAATTACCAAATAATTCTTATTTAAATTCATTGATTAATTGATTTAGTCAAAGGCTTCAGATTCTCTTCAAATTCCACACATCCCAATATTTCTTCCAGCGCAAGATCTGAAATGAAATGTATATCGATTTTTCCAGGGATCATTCTATGAACTTGAGTTTTTGAAAAATGTTTTTTCGGAACACCTTCAAAATCGTGGATTTTCAAAAAATATTTTTAAAGTCAAACCGACAAACGTGGATTTGTTAAAAATAGTTTTTTGGATTGGATTGGATTTGTTAAAAATAATTTTTTAAGTCAAAACGACAAACGTAGATTTTTTAAAAGAATTTTTAAAGATTTGGATTTCCAAAAAATATTTTTTAAAAAATATTTAAAGATTTGGATTTCCAAAAATATTTTTTAAATCAAAACGACAGACGTGGATTTTTTTAAAAATATTTTTTAAATCAAAACGACAGACGTGGATTTTTTTAAAAATATTTTTTAAATCAAAACGACAGACGTGGATTTTTTTAAAAATATTTTTTAAATCAAAACGACAGACGTGGATTTTTTTAAAAATATTTTTTAAATCAAAACGACAGACGTGGATTTTTTTAAAAATATTTTTTAAATCAAAACGACAGACGTGGATTTTTTTAAAAATATTTTTTAAATCAAAACGACAGACGTGGATTTTTTTAAAAATATTTTTTAAATCAAAACGACAGACGTGGATTTTTTTAAAAATATTTTTTAAATATTTGGATTTCCAAAAAAAAAAATAAAGTTAAAACAACAAACACGGATTTTTAAAAAATAATTGTTCTCGTCAAGCCGATAAACGTGGACTTTTTAAAAATAATTTTTAAAGTCACGCCGACGAACGTGGATTCTTTACCAATATACACACGTGGATTTAAAAAAAAAAAATAAAGACAAACGTGCATTTTTATACCCTCCACCATGGGTAGGAGGGTATATTAACTTTGTCATTCCGTTTGTAACACCTCTAAATATTCTTCGTAGACCCCATAAAGTATATATATTCATAATCAGCATAAAATTCTAAGACGATTTAGCGATGTCCGTCTGTCTGTCTGTCCGTCTGTCTGTCTGTCTGTTGAAATCACGATAGAGCCCACATTATTTGACGTAGACCATTGAAATTTGGCACAAGTATGTGTATTGTCCCTAGGATGGTTGGTATTGAAAATGAGATATATCGGTCCACGTTCTGGTATAGTCCCCATATAACGGTACCTCCCGACATTCGGTATTTTGATGATTTATGCCACATTTTTTCACGGATTTATCTGAAAATTGGTATTTGTAGGTCATGACGGGTCCCTGAGCGTGTGGCTAAACATTGCATGTATAGGTCCACGTTTTGGTATAGCCCCCATATAACGGTACCTACCGATATTCGGTATTTTGATGATTTATGCCACATTTTTTCACGGATTTGTCTGAAAATTGGTATTTGTAGGTCACAACGGGTCCCTGAGCGTGTAGCAAAACATTGCATGTATAGGTCCACGTTCTGGTATAGTCCCCATATAACGGTACCTCCCGATATTCGGTATTTTGATGATTTATGCCAAATTTTTTCACTGATTTGTGTAAAAGTTGGTATTTGTGGGTCATAATGGGTCCTAGCTCGTGTGGCGAAACATTGTAATTATAGGTGCACGTGTTGGTGTAGCCCCTATATAACGGTACCTCCCGATATTCGCATTTTAATGTTTTTTGCCACATTTTTTCTAATGTTCTTTTACCCTAGGGTGGAGGGTATTAAAAGTTTGGCCCGGCCGAACTTAATGTTTTTTTACTTGTTTTCAAAATAATTTTGAAAGACCAATCTACAAACGTGGATTATTTTCAAAATTATTTTTAAAGTCAAACGTGATTTTTTAGAAATAATTTTTAAAGTCAAACCGATAAACCTAGATTTTCTAAAATAATTTTTAAATTCAAACGTGCTTTTTTTTTAAAAAAATTGTAAATTCAAACGCGTAAACATAATTTTTAAAGGCCCATCTACAAACGTGGATTTTTTTTTCAAAATAATTAAAATTTTTTTAAGTACTTTCAAAGTCAAATCGACAAACGTGGATTTTTTTCATAATAATTAATTTTTTTTTTTAAAAATTTTTTAAAGTCAACTTGACAAACGTGGATTTTTTTCAAACTGACTTTTTTAAAGCTCATCTACAAACATGGATTTTTTCAGAATAATTGAATTTTGTTTTAATTCTTTTAATGGCAAATCTACAAACGTGGATTTTTTTCAAAATAATTTTTAAAGGCCCATCTACAAACGTGGATTTTTTTTCAAAAAAAAAAAATTAATTTGTTGTTTTAATATTCCTTAAGTCAAATCGGTAAACGTGGATTTTATTCAAAATAATCTAATTTTTTTAATATTTTTAAAGTCAAATTGACAAACGCGGACTTTTTTCAAAAATTTTTTATGCATTTATAAACGAAATTTTTTTAAATAATATTTATGCATAAACTTGGACTTTTTATTTTTTAATATTTTTTAAAAATATTCTTTCCAGAATCTATGACCAAGGAGATTATTTTAGAAATATTTCTAAATTATCAAACTGTCTTTTTTATATTTTTTCAGCCCCTTTAACAAATGTTGAGTGAAATATTTTTTTAAGATTTTTTCCCCATTTTTTTATTTGACCCAAAATAAAAGATTTGTTTTTTTTTTAATTTTTTATTATTTTTATTTAAGCATTTTTTATTAAGATTTGTTTCTGTTTTATTTATCAATTTGTTGGTTTTGTTTTCTTGTTCTTGTATATATAGAGAAATTGCATTACATTCATTGTTTTAATATTAATATATAATATAATATTAAAATGGTTTTTTATTTTTAATTTTCGATTTGAAAATGTCATTTTTGGATCATAGATGTTATATATTATTTTATTTAATATATATTAATGTTTTTCTTATTTTTTTTTTTTTCAATTAAATCTAATCAACATGGACTGAATGATTTGCCTTAAATTTTATTATTTTCTTAATTTTTTTTAATTGTATATTTAAGTTTTCTTTTGATAACACATTTGTTTTTGCTTGAAATTTATTTGTTTTTTTTTTCTTCTTGCAAATGTATATATATTTTTTTAATTATAAAATACACACATACAATTTATTTTTGAATATTATTTGAAGGACCTAAGGTTTTTTTTCTTTTATTTTTTTGAGGAGTGATATCAAGCTTTTATTTTAGGTGTTTTGCTGGCTTTGCTGCATTTGGTGGAGTAATGGTTTTTTAAATTTTTTAGAAAAATTTTATTTTGTTTAAGTTTTTGTTGGTTTATGGATTAAATATTGAAATATTTTGGTATGGGTGTTGTTGACTTTATCATATTTTGTGATTGTGATGGTGCATTGGTTTTAACTTGATTTTGTGATGTGGGTTGGAATTGGATTATTTTGTAATATTTTTTAAAGAATAATCTAAAATGAAAAAATAGCAAAAAATATTAAAATAAAAAATAGTTTGTTTATGAAAATTTTGAGGAAATAATTTAAGTTTAAGACTGGATTTATTTAAAGCATATTTTCGAACCTAGAAAAAAAATTCTCTTGGGAAAATTTTGAAATTTGTTATGAGACATTTTTGAAGGGGTTTTAAAAGATTTTTAAATTTTTTTCCATGAAAATTTGGCACGTTAAATTCAGAAAAATTCTGAATATTTTTTAAAAATATATTTTAAAAGATTTTTTTTCTAAAAAAAAAAAATATAAAAAAAAATCCTGGAAAATGATTTTAAAATTTGAATAGTAATCCATAAACAACAAAATCTTCAAATTTACTATTTAGATAGTAAATTTTAAAATCATTTTCCAGAATTTTATTTATTTTTTTTTTTTTGGAAAAAAATTTTCAAAATATATTTTTAAAGAATATTCAGTATTTTTCTGTATTTGATGTGCCAAATTTTCATGGACAAATAAATTAAAATTTTAAAATCATTTTACAGGATTTTTTTATTATTATTATTTTTTATTTTTTTTTTTTTGGAAAAAAATTTTCAGAATATATTTTTGAAGAATATTCAGAATTTTTCTGTAATCGACGTGTCAAATATCCATGGACAAATAAATTAAATTTTTTTTAAACCCCTTCAAAATGTCTCATTAAAAGTTCAAAATCTTTCCACTTTTTTTTAATTCGGAGTTCATTTGGAAAAGAAGCCCACACCAAATATGCCTGATAATCCGCTTAAATAACGGCGGAACGCGGAACAAAACTCAAAATTATTTTTTTTTTTTTGTTTTTGTTCATTATTGAAATTGAAATTTCTATCTAAATTTCTTCAACAATAATTTGAATTTCAGAAAAACAGTCTCAAACTTGAACTTTTTGTAGAAAAATAGATGCAGATTTTATTTTTTGGCGAGTCCCAAAAAATGTCCCAAACTTGGACTGGATTTAAAAAAATAGATGTAAATTTTTTTTTTGGTGCGATTTTTTTTAAAGAACGAATCAAATTATTTTTTGTTTTGGAGATTTTTTTGTTTGAAAAAAAAAATGCAAATTTAATGTACACATGTATTTATTTGAAAATAATTATTGGTTTCATGTTTTTATATATAGCATATGGCAACTATTGTTTTTTTTTATAAATATATACTATACAACTTATAATGAATAATTAAAAAAATATAAATATAAACAAGAAAAAATTAAAATAAATTGCATTAAAATATTTTTTTATATAGCAGACAGATAAAGCACTTTTTGTAAGAAGAAAATTTTTAAAAATATTTTATTTATTTATTTTTAAAAATATTTTTTTTTATTTTGAAAAATAATTTTTTAATTTTTAAAAATAATTTTTTTTATTTTGAAAATATATATATATTTTTTTTTTAATTTTTTAGATTGTTATATAAATAATGATAATATCAAGTAGAACATCTTTTGTTTTTATGTTTATTCATTTAAAGCTTATACCTATAATTAAATTAAAAAAAAATATACATCAACACACAATTTTACAAAGATTGCAAAAAACAAATAAAAACAACTTTTTACAATGGAAAATAAAAAAGAAAAATATAATTTTTATACAACAACAAAAAAAATTTGATAAAATTACAAAAAATAAATATTGCAAAATAATTGTTTTAAGAAGCTTGGAAACCAGAAATGCAAATTCGTTTATTATATCAATTTTTTGTGATTTGTTTTGTTTCGTTTTTTTTTTTTGTTTTTGTATATAAATATTTATCAACAATTATTATATTAATTATATTTTTATTTATTTTTTTTTGTTAATAAAAAAAGCATTTTTGCACACTCAGTTTTAATTAAGCTTCAAAATAATTAAGATTTTTTTTGTGTATATTAGAATAAATATTTATTTTTTTATTAGGCTGAGTATTTGAAATTTATAATGGGTTTCTGTTCAAAAAAAAAAAAAAAAAACTGATGTTAGGTTGGAAGGTCAAAATAGGTGTTACATAGAGCAAATGCCTTGTTTTCTAACTATTTTAGATTTTTAAACAAAAATCTTTCTTTTTTAGATTTTTTCAAATCCCTATTTTAAAAGCTCCATATGTGGATTTGAATTTTTTTAAATAAATCGAAGCCAGTTTCTTAAAAACAATTTTAAAGAAGGAGCTGAAGATTTTTTTAAAGAAAATTTTTAGGAAGCATTCGGAGTCCCTTACATGCATCTATTTCACAATTTTAGAACACTTGAAGAACTTTTTTTATATGTTTTAAAAGGTTAAGATTAAACATATTTTCAAAAGTATTAATAATTGAGACATTTTTAGATTTGAAAAAAAAAAACGAAGCTCCTACCCATTTTCTTAAAAAAAAATTGAAGAAGGAGCTTAAGATTTTTGTTTAAAGAAGATGTTAAGGAAGCATACGGAATGCCTTACTTGTATTTATTTGAGATTTTTTTATATGTTTTGAAAGGTTAAGGTTAAAAGTGTTTTCAAAAGCATTAATAATTGAGAGACATTTTCAACAACAATCCCTTTGATTACCTTCCATCCTAAGTATAAATGTTGTTGTTTCAAAATTTCTTCTTTTTCATTATTTTTGTTAATTATGGTTATCGTTATTATTTGTTTAGAACAAATTCCAGTTGGTTTTCATGAATGCTTTTTTCTGAATATTTTTTTTATCTTTCATTTTCATTTATTTCTTTTTTTTTTAATTTAGAAAAGAGAGAAAGAGGGCAGTATAAAATACTTATTTGTTCTTGTTTACTCCTAGACTTTGAAAACTGTATTTGATGAGTTTTTTTTTTATTATTTTTCTTAAGAAAAGTTTCGGAGATTTAAGATAATAAATATTTATCTAAAAAAATTATTATTTTTCCAAATGTGTTTAAGCATCCATTTCTTTTGGTTTAGAATTACAATTGTCTTTTATTTATTTCTTTTGAAAAAATTTGTTCTAATTTTCTTTTGGTTTCCAGATAAGAGTATGATGGATATTGGAATTGGATAGGAAAGGTAATAAAAATATAAATAAACATTTAAAAATTTTAATAAAAATGTCTTCCATAGACCTTTGCTTGATTAAAAGAATGATTTTAATTCGATGGAGAGCCATTTAATTTAGTTTTGTTTAATTCGAAATATTAATAATAAGTAATTAATAATTTTTCCGATATCTCTGATATATTACCACTTAGAGCAAGAACATTTTGGGGATTTCAAATTCCTACATTCTTATTTCTTCTGAACATATGACCCTTAAAGTACACTATGAAAAATTCTCAAATTGTGAAAAATGTGTTTTTCGATTCTTCCCATATCTCTGAAATTTAGTCAGATGGAGCAAAACTATTTTCAAGAAATAAAGCTCGGACATTCTTCTTTCAAAAACAGTTCATTACATTAGAATACATCCAACACTTCAGAGGCTGTGATAACTGACAAATTGCTATGGGAAATTTCTAGGTCATTTTTAACTTTCCTTTTTTTATTTATTTTCAATTCGTACAGTAACCTAACCCATAGGACCATGGAGGGTTCAAAAAACTTCTTACATGACATGACGGAATTTTAACAGTTCCCACAAAAATATCTTTGGCCTTTCTTCTTCCAAATTAATTCATTTCATTTGAATACCCTAATTATTTCTGAAGATATGATCACTGAAAAAGCGTTTTGTTTAAATTGTAAAAATAGTCATTTCCAATTTTTCCCATATCTCTAGAATTTTACTAGGGAAATTCTTCTTTCAAAGCCAATTTATTTAATTAGCTTACATCTAACTCTTTAGAAGTTATGTCCTTGGAGAATTTATTGGCAAATTATGTTGTACATTGTGATAAAAGTAATTTTCAACTTTACCCATATCTCTAATATTTTACAAGTTACAACAAGATTGTGTACGTAGACTTAAAGAATATACTTTTTGCTTCTAGAATCAATTTTTTTTAGGATGTTTCCAGTACTTTAGGAGTACTGGATCTATGAAACGGCAATTGTTTCTAAAGAGCTGTTGGGACTTTCTAAATTATTAGACATTTCGGATATTTGATTAGTTTTAGCAAAAATATAACGTTGGTTTTGAAGTTTAGACATTCTTCTAAGCTTAATTAATTATTTTGGTTTAAATACAATCCATCCATCCAATTCCAAAATTGTGTCCTTAGAAAAATACATGGAAAATATCCTAATAATTGAAAAAATGGATACCTTCTCATTTTTTATGATATTTTGGATGTTGAATCCGCTACAATACACAATTTTCTATAGCTTACAAGTTCGAACTTTTTTATTTCAAAATCAATTCATTTGCCCGAGTTAAAACCATCACTTAAAAAGTTTTGGCCTTTTTCAAATGACTTAGAACAAACTTTTTAAGTAAAAAAAATAATATTCTCTATTTTTTAGATTTCTTGGATATTTCATCAGCTACAGTACAATAACTTTATACACATTTAAAGTTTAGACACTATACTTTCACAAGCAATTTACTTGATTGAGATAAATCCATTTCTTCAAAAGTTATGACCTCCACAAATGTCTTAGCAAAAACTCTTTATTGATATTTTTCGATTTTTACCATATCTCTGTAACTTGAGAATGTATAGCAAGAAAATCTATGTGGACTAATAGTGCTGACTTCATTCTTTTACAATCAAACTCATTTGCTTAAGATATATGCATTAAATTTTAATTTATGGTCACTGGAAAATGACTTATATAAACTTAAAAAAATCAAAAAATGGGACATTTTTCAATTTTTACGATATCTCAGGTATTTGATCATTTATAGGGATAAACATTACATCGATTTAAAGTTCAGAAACTTCCCTTTCACAAACATTTCATTTGATTTAGATAGATACACTACTTTAAGAGTTATGGTCTTTGGCAAACGACTAAGAAAAAACTCTTAAATAAATGAAATATTTTTCAAATTTTACGATATCTCGAGTACTTGAGAAGTTACGGAAAAACAATTAATATGAATTTAACGTTTAGACTTTCTTCTTTCTCAAATTCATTCATTAGATTGAAATATATTCACTCCTTTAGAAACTGTTGACTTTGGCAAATGACTGAAGATAAAATCAGAAAAAATTATACACTTTTTTAATTTTTTTTTTTCAATATCTCAGGTATTTGATCATTTATAGGGATAAACATTACATCGATTTAAAGTTCAGAAACTTCCCTTTCACAAACATTTCATTTGATTTAGATATATCCATTACTCTAAGAATTATGGCCTTTGGCAAAACCCAAAGAAAAAACTCCCAAACAAATGAGATGTTTTTCAATTTTTACAATATCTCGGGTACTTGAGAAGTTACGACAAAACAATTAATATGAATTTAATGTTCAGACTTCATTTTTTTACAATCAAATTCATTTGATTGAGATATATTCACTCCTTTAGAAACTGTTAACTTTGGCAAATGACTAAAGAAAAAATAAAAAGAAATAAATGATATACTTTTTGATTTTGACGATATCTCGGGTATTTGATCAGTTACAGAAAAAATAATTACATGGATATAAAGTTCGGACACTTCTCTTTCACAAATATTTAATTTGATTTAGATAAATCCATTACTTTAAGAGTTATGGTCTTTGGTAAATGACTAAACAAAACTTTTAAACAAACGAGGCACTTTTCATTTGTTACGATATCTCGGGTGCTTGAGAAGTTACAGTTAAAAATGTATATGGACTTATAGCTCTGACATTCTTCTTTCAAAATCAATTCAATTATTTAGGATATAGCCATTATGATGGAAGTTATGGGCCTTGGAAATTACTATATTTATTTGCCAAATTTGGGACATTTCCGAGACTTTTAAATGTAGCAAAAATTCCACTTTTTCTGGGAAGATGGGCTAATATAAATCGTGGCAAGTTAAATATTGGACTCTTTTCTTTCTTAATCAAGGATCTACATTAATTTGTTACAAAAAAGGTAGCAGAATTTGGGGTCAATTTTTTTTGAAACTTTTTTTAATTTGTTTCCATAACCGTGGAAATTTGAAAATGGTTTCTTAAGAAGAATTATTTGAAATATTACATCAGAGTTGTATTTTTTACACAATTTACTTCCTCTCCAATTCCAATATACATCATATTCTTAAGATTACTTATTATTTCTTCAGAGTTTTAAATATAATAAATTTTTTTCTTTTATCTTTTTCGAAGTTGATTTTTTATATATTTTTCTTTATGATTTTTTTGTTTGTATAATTAAATTAGTTACTATTCTCTAGACAAAAAAAAAATCGCATTTCTTTTCTTTTTCTTAAAAAGATGGGGAATAAATTTAATTTAAAAAAATAATAAAAAAAACTTAAAACTAGTTTCTTGTGTTTTTTTGGATTAATTTGTTGCTGGTTTTATGCTTCTATTAATGCTATTCCGTTTAAAGGGGGAAATATGCTTTGTTTGCTTTCTTGCCGCCTGCCGGTATCTTCTTCATTTATGTGGGGCAAAGGACCTTCAAAATGTAATCTGTTAAGAGAGTGGGCACCGTGGGGCTATCCTCGTTGATGGCTTTCAAGACTAAAGAGAGGAAGAGAATACATTTAGTAAATTCGAATTTGTTTCTTGGTACAATCTCCTCCAACTTACTTTTTATTAAAACTTGTAGATTTTGATTATTTGGTGTGCCATTCTCCATGGTATAGGGTATGACTGTGGTCAAATATTTCGGCTCGGGACCCTGGAATTTACCCCTCTTCTTTTCCACATGATATTGGCGACGTTTGTTTTGTACTGCCAGCAGTATTGAAATGAATGAATTCTTCAATTCCTTTTCAAATTCCAATTCATCGCGCAATGCCAATTCATTGATGAGGGTCTCACTTAGCTCCTGGATCAATACCTCCATTTCCATGTATAGCTCATTTAACTGGTTGATGGAGAGATACTGCAACTCTGTAAAGGAAAAATAAAAATGTTTAATATTTGAATATTTTTTTTCAAAGAAGAACTACTTACTTTCCGCATAGAGAGGTGCCCCCAATACCTCCTTGGCCTTTTCCATCACTTCAGACTCACATGTGGTGGCCTCATCTGTGGGACTCTCGGCCTCATCGATAATATATTCAATTTCCTTGATAACCTCTTCGACACTTTTGATTGGCTCCTCCGGCTCATTGTTGAGGCCATGCAAAATCAAGGCATGCATATCCAAATCATTGGCAATGGCTTCATCTTCACTGTTCAAATCATCGGCTGGCGTTTGGACATCTGAGGAACCTCCTTGTTTGTTGTTGGTATTCTGACCTAAATTCAAGGTAGGCATATGCATTTTACGTGTATATGATTTGGACCAATCAATGGGTAAAATATTACCAAAATTGCCAGTAATAGTCCACCACATTCTGTAAAAGAAATAAAGAAAAAAATTGGGGGTTAGAAAATTGTATTTAAATGGAAATTTTTATAGAAATGATAAAAAATTAAAAAAAGAAAGAAAATTCCTCTGAAGCTGCAGAAAAACTTTTATAGAAAAAAATTTGCCAGAATCTAGGGACCAAATTTTTGGGTGTAGAAAAAATCTCAGAAACATTTTTTTCTTTAGGAAAAAGTTCGGACAGCAACTTTTTTTGTTCAAAAAATATTCCAAAATTCCGGGACAAATTTTGCAACCTCATGGCAACCCTTAAAAACTCACATACCAACCGCCACCCTCCTTAGCAAGATATTTATCTGGCATTCCATCATAATTATGGCACGACCCATCATTAGAAATGCATTCAAGGAACAGGAAGTCTAATGTCACAACACACTACTTAGCAAATATTTGTCAAATGACACACACACACACACCCACACCCACACCCGTACGAACAAGGAAGGACCCAAACGACATATGAATGGCTAAATGCATTTCCATGGAAAATCCTGAAGGCAACAAGAAAAAATAAACAGGCCAACAATTGTGTTGCAAAACAAGAAGAAAGAAATTCCAACAAGAAAAAAAATTATAAATAAAAAGGACGAAAAAAAAAATCCAGGATAATGTGTAAACAGATGGGATTTTTCATGTCGAGAGAGAAAAAAAGGCCAACAATTTACTTGTGGCGTAATTTCCACTCTTTGTGAAAGTTTCTTCCCCGCACAACCACCAACCAGTCAAGACATCGTCATTGGCAACGACGTCGACGACGATGATGATGGTGGCGGCGTTGACGAGGACAACAACGGTCATATTCTGATTGTAAGCCACACACACACACACACACAAAAGGAGTGTACAGGACAATGAACTTATAATCTGATATATGGGCCAGCGAGAAAATATAAAAAGAATATATTTTATATTTAATGCAGAGGAAAAGTGGAGGGATATGAATGGAAGGAACACTGTTTCATAAATAATTTATTTTCTGGTGATTTTTTTCAAGAGGAAAAAAATCATTCCCAGTGTCTGGGGATTTTTTCTATAGATAAAAATTTGTCCCCAGTTTCTGGGGATTTTTTTCTTTAAAAAAAATTTGTCCCCATTTTTTGAGGATTTTTTTCTACAGAAAAAAATTTGTCCCCAGTTTTTGGGGATTTTTTTCTATAGAAAAAAAATCGTCCCCAGTTTTTGGGTATTTTTTTCTATAGAAAAAAATTCGTCCCCAGTTTTTGGGGAAAAAATTCGATCCCCAGTGTATCTGGGGATTTTTTCCGTATAGGAAAAAATTCGATCCCCAGTGTATCTGGGGATTTTTTCCGTATAGGAAAAAATTCGATCCCCAGTGTATCTGGGGATTTTTTCCGTATAGGAAAAAATTCGATCCCCAGTGTATCTGGGGATTTTTTCCGTATAGGAAAAAATTCGATCCCCAGTGTATCTGGGGATTTTTTCCGTATAGGAAAAAATTCGATCCCCAGTGTATCTGGGGATTTTTTCCGTATAGGAAAAAATTCGATCCCCAGTTTCTGGGGATTTTTTTCTATAAAAAAAAATTCGTCCCCAGTTTCTGGGGATTTTTTTCTATAAAAAAAAATTCGTCCCCAGTTTCTGGGGATTTTTTTCTATAGAAAAAAAAATTCGTCCCCAGAATCTGGGGATTTTTTTCTATACAAAAAAATTAATTCACAGTTTCTGGGATTTTTTTTTTTTGTTTTTTTCCCAGTTTCTGGGGATTTTTTCCTAAAAGAAAAAATATATCCCCAGTTTCTGGGATTTTTTTTCGTATTTTCTACTTTCTTTGGAAATGGTGTAAACAAAGTACACACCCATATGACAATGTGTACATATTCACACATAAATCTACCGAGGACCTCAGGATGCCGCAAACAATATTTCATAACGACATGCAATAGAGATTTGCTCATAGCCTTTGGATAAGTAGTCGAGCTATTGGTCACTAGGTAATTGAAGCAATAAATTCTCTTAAATTGAGATTAATGGCAGAAGGAGGTATCGTCGAAATGTTCATGGGGTTATTGCGAAAGCCCACATGAAATGATGGCTGGCTGGTGGTAGGTTGGCTTAAAAAATTTGCAAAAATAAACTCTTTTGTGGAAAACCAGAAATGAATTTTGTGTGGGTAATAGTTAGGCATTTATTAACATAAATATTGACATTGACATTGAAACTGAAATTTGTTGGTTATTGCAAGTGATTCAGAAAAAACGGGAGAAAAAATGTGAAAAGAAAAAAAATCCTTCCTTAAAAAATATAAAAAAAATGAGAATGAATATTTTGGTAATATTTTGGAGGGAAGAAGTCTTCAGTCCGATTTTTTTTTTTTTGTATAAAAAATTTTAGGAATTGGGGAACGATTTTTTTATAAAAAAGACCCCAAAAATTGGGACCAATTTTTTTCTATAGGAAAAAAATTTCCTTCCCCAGAGGATGGAATATTTTGAAGAGGATGGATATTTTGATAATTTTTTTGAGGGAAAAAGTCTCCAGTCCGAATTTTTTTTGTATAAAAAATTTTAGGAATTGGAGACCGATTTTTTTATAAAAAAAAGACCTCAAAAAATTGGGACCAATTTTTTTCTATAGGAAAAAAATTTCCGTCCCCAGAGTATGGAAATTTTTTTCTTTTCTAAATTGATTTTCCTTTTTTTATCCTAAATTGACCCCCCCTTCCCCCTCAAAACCATTGTAAGACAAAATCTATCTAGACATTTCTTTTATTTCATCATTTTTTTAAATCAAAATTTTTGACATAGAAAAGCTTTAATGTGTCTGTCATTCAAGGGCCCATTAAACGTAATGGTAGCTACTTTTTTTTTGTTAGGCATTTTTTTTTTCTTGGTCTCTTTTGCCTTCAGATGCCAGACGAATATTTGCCAAAAACAAAAGAAGATTGCTCTAATTTAGACGAGTTTTTTCTTCTACTATTTTCTTGTTGCCGTTTATTGGCCCAAAGCATGCCAGCCAAAAGCAATCAAAGAACTAAAAGACGCCATAATGTCATTAGGGAATTTTAGTTTGGGCCAAAAAAACTCTGAAGAAATTCCAGTTGTTTTCAAGTTGCAAGACATGATTTTCGGTTTCAAAAAAAAAAAAAACAATTATTTTTGTTTTGAACAAACAAACCCCGATTAATGAGCTTTCCCCCAAAATAACCATTCTTCCGCTGGTTTCAGTTACATCACCTTTTTCGTATCCGATATTTTTCGGTTTTTTTGTTTCTACTTCCCTCCACAAGAACCTACTTTCATTTCCCCCGCTTCTGAGGCACTTGACGTTTTTGCTTTAAATTAACTCAAAACAAAATTGGCTTTTGACTGTCATAACGCACAATTATGTCAACTTCAACGCCCGCCGTTTAATATACAACGTTTGTAGAATATTAAAAAGGCAAAAACAAACTCTTCAAAGACTACCAACGCGTGGCTAGCCATGAAATGTTGGCCTGGCTTAACTCCATAGTACCCCACAAGTCACATATCTCAGTTGTGCTTTTTTTAAACAAGAAAGATACAGTGGGGGAGGTGAAACTGAATTGGGGGTCAAAATCCACAGAATCTGTCGACGAATTTATTTCAATAGAAAAAATTCATTTTTTCTATAGAAAAAAATTTCCTGAAACTGGGGAACAGTCTCCAGAATCTAGGGACAATTTTTTTCCTATAGGAAAAAATCCCCAGAATCTAGGGACAATTTTTTCCTATAGGAAAAAATCCCCAGAATCTGGGGACAAATTTTTTTCTATAGGAAAAAATCCCCAGAATCTGGGGAAAAATTTTTTTCTATAGGAAAAAATCCCCAGAATCTGGGGACAAATTTTTTTTATAGAAAAAAATCCCCAGAATCTGGGGACAAATTTTTTTTATAGAAAAAAATCCCCAGAATCTGGGGACAATTTTTTTTATAGAAACAAATCCCCAGAATCTGGGGACAAATTTTTTTCTATAGAAGAAAATTTCCAGCATCTGGGGACAAATTTTTTTCTATAGAAAAAAATTTCCAGCAACTGGGGACAAATTTTTTATAGAAAAAAATCCCCAGATACACACTGGGGATGAATTTTTTCCTATACGGAAAAAATCCCCAGATACACACTGGGGATGAATTTTTTCCTATACGGAAAAAATCCCCAGATACACTGGGGACGAATTTTTTCCTATACGGAAAAAATCCCCAGATACACTGGGGACGAATTTTTTCCTATACGGAAAAAATCCCCAGATACACTGGGGACGAATTTTTCTATAGAAAAAAATCCCCAGAAACACACTGGGGATGAATTTTTTTCTATAGAAAAAAATCCCCAGAAACACACTGGGGATGAATTTTTTTCTATAGAAAAAAATCCCCAGAAACTGTGGACGAATTTTTTTCTATAGAAAAAAATCCCCAGAAACTGTGGACGAATTTTTTTCTATAGAAAAAAATCCCCAGAAACTGTGGACGAATTTTTTTCTATAGAAAAAAATCCCCAGAAACTGGGCACGAATTTTTTTCTATAGCAAAAAATCCCCAGAATGTGGGCACGATTTTTTTTCTATAGCAAAAAATCCCCAGAATGTTGGGACAAATTTTTTTCTATAGAAATAAATCCTCAGAAACTGGGGACAAAATTTTTTCTATAGGAAAAAAATCCCCAGAAACTGGGGACAAAATTTTTTCTATAGGAAAGAAACCCCAGAATCTGGGTACAATTTTTTTTCTATAGAAAAAAATCCTCAGAAACTGGGGACAATTTTTTTTCTATAGAAAAAAGTCCTCATTTTTTTCTATAGAAAAAATCCCCATAAGCAGGGGACGAATTTTTTTCTATAGAAAAAAATCCCCTGAAACTCTGGGGACGAATTTTTTTCTATAGAAAAAAATCCCCTGAAACTCTGGGGACGAATTTTTTTCTATAGAAAAAAATCCCCTGAAACTCTGGGGACGATTTTTTTTTCTATAGAAAAAAATCCCCTG